CTCTGCTCTTGTGAGACCTCACCTGGAGCATTGTGTGCAGTTCTGGGGTCCTCAACACAAAAAGGACATGGAACTGTTGGAACAAGTCCAGAGGAGGCCACGAGGATGCTCAGGGGCTGGAGCAGCTCCTGTATGAAGACAGGCTGAGAAAGTTGGGGCTGTTCAGCCTGGAGAAGAGAAGCTGCGGGGAGACCTCAGAGCAGCTTCCAGTATCTGAAGGGGGCCTATAGGGATGCTGGGGAGGGACTCTTCATTAGGGACTGCAGTGACAGGACAAGGGGTAACGGGTTCAAACTGAAACAGGGGAAGTTTAGATTGGATCTAAGGAGGAAATTCTTTCCTGTGAGGGTGCTGAGGCACTGGAATGGGTTGCCCAGGGAGGTTGTGAATGCTCCATCCCTGGCGGTGTTCAAGGCCAGGTTGGACGAGGCCTTGGGTGCCATGGTTTAGTGTGAGGTGTTCCTGCCCATGGCAGGGGGTTGGAACTGGATGATCTTAAGGTCCTTTCCAACCCTGACTGTTCTATGATTCTATGATTCTTTGTTGAACAAGACCAGTCCCAACCGCGATCCCTGAGGGACCCCACTCGTTACTGGTCTCCAGCCGGACATTGAGCCATTGACCACAACTCTTTGCATGCGGCCATCCAGCCAGTTCTTTATCCACGGAGTGGTCCATCCATCACATTGATGCCTCTCCAGTTCCTTCTGTACTGGCTGTTACTGGCGGGTGGATGCCCAGGTTGCCAGCAGCAATGGTACCACGGAGGCAGGGACCCTGATGGTCTGGAGGAGGGGGTCCTGCAGCAGGACCACGTTGTCTCCTGGCTGGCAAAGCTGAGGAGGGGCTTGTTCCGGGGCCTCGCATCGCTTCCATGTCCCCTGTTCCCATCACAGAAGCCTGGGAGCAGCACCCCCCAGGATCCCAGGGCACCCCTGTCCCGCTCCTGTTCCCTCTCCGGCAGAGCCGGGGGTGTTTGCTCAATCCCTCATCACGAGCACGCCGCGGCAGAGCAGGATGTGCTCCTGCACAGTGATCCGTGAAGGTCAGCCCGGCCACGTCCTCATCCCTCACCTGCTGCAGAGCAATGGACCGTGGCACCTTAACTCATTTATGGCCTTTAATTCGTCTCAGGGCCAGGCTGGATGGGGCTTGGAGCAAGCTGCTCCAGTGGAAGGGGTCCCTGCCCGGGGCAGGGGTTGCAGCTGGAGGAGCTTTAAGGTCCCTTCAACCCAAACCAGGCTGGGGTTCTTGTGTAGTTATTTTTTCCCTCCCCCTCAGAGGCTCCAGGAGCTGGTTTGGATGGAGGTTTCCATCACCTAAAGGCTAATGCTGCTCTCCTAAACGGCAGGCAGTGATCCTGGCGCCACGGGTGCGAAGGCTGCAGCTTCGAGGTGCTGGGATTTGGGTTTCGCATCCCCATGAGCTCAGTCAGAACCAGGAGATCATGGCTGAGATTGAAGGGGAACGGCCTGTGCTGGTCATCCCGCAGGGCAGCCTCCTGCAGCGCGTCTGCAGGGCTCTGTCTGCGTGAGTTTTAACCCCGTCCATGGCGGGGCTCCGTGTCCTTGCCTTCGGAAGCCGCTCTGTGCTCTAAACCGAGCTCGGTTCCTCGCGGCGCGGAGCTCCCCGTGGTGAGCAGCAGCCCTTGTGCAGCCCAATGGAGCTCAACAGACGTGGGTGAGCACCGGTGCCCTCGCTGCAGCAAACCGGGGGGGTGAAACCCTCCCCTCGGGACCCGGGGGCCAGAAAGGGCTTTGGTGACCTGGTGTTATCCCTGCAGCTGCTCACGCTCACACGCTGCACCGGGAGCTGCCGGCGCTCCCCCGGATGAAGGGGCAAGGAGGCTCCCGGGACGCGTTGCCCGGGCTCCGGGCTGGAAGGGAGCCGCTCTCCATCCGCCCCTTTGCTGCGGTCCCATCCCCATCAGCGTTGGAAGGCATCTTCGGGCTCTAACGTGGAGCCGGGTCCGTTGCAAGCAGGCAGCGCCGGAGCGGAACACCGGGATCAGACCCGGCCTTGTGTCCTGCACCGGGGGTCCCTTGTCTCTCTTGCCCTAAAAAGCAGCCCCGTTATGAGGAAGAGGAAGGGAAGGTCCCCATGGGGCCGCGCTGAGGCCGCCCGGAGCAGGCAGCAGGCAGCCAGACCCAGCGCAAGCTGCTCCCATCTGCTTCCTCTCTCCCTATTTATAGAACATGGAGAGGCGGCTGGGATCGGGATCTGTGTCCCTGGCTGGAGCCACGGCAGGGGCTGATGTCGGTGGGGTGAGGAAGGAGAGGCCCTGAAGGCTGAGAGCAGTTCTCCATCGTGTGATGGCTCTGCTAGAGCAACCCAAAGCGTGTGCGCTGGAGAGCATTCCCTGGTGGCCCCATCCAGCATTAACCCCCAAGAGACCCGCAGGCATGGGAGCTTGTCTTGATGGGAGCAATGTTTGCGTGGTCATTAACGGGTGATGGCTAAATGTGACACACGGGTTGGAAAGGGGGATCAGCCCTTCGAAGGGATGCTCAGGAGATGAGCTAAACGCTGTGGGACCAAAGCTTTGGAATACCATGATCCTTTTTGAGAACAGGGTGCAGGCTCCAAAGCCAGTTGAGATTGGGTTGGTTTCCATCAGCGCCCTGCACCTTCAGGTCCTCTAATGGAGAGGAAAGGGACCAGCTTTCATTTTAGCTTCCCTTTCCAAAGAATGCACCAAGCATCCCACTTCCCTCTCAGGAGCAGCCACGTTCAGGTTGTTTTGGGAGCTCTCAAACCAGCCGATGATCCAATAGGGATCCAGTTGGGACCGCGGAGCAGGACTCCTGTGATGGGAGGCTGCGCCTGAGCTGATTTGGTTCTTTGCTTTAGGGCAGCGTTTTCCTTCTGCTGGGTTTGCGTTTGCAGGGCCGTGATTCATGGGTGCCTTTGGCCTCTTTCCCGGTGCAGGCTCCACATCTCCAGACACCGGCAAGCAGGGAATGGCCCGACCACAGCTATGTCAACAGAAAGCGGTACCTACCCCACCTCTTCCCCCAGCACCGCTGCAGGGGCCTGGTTACACTGGAGGGGGCTGATTCAGCCATTGCAGGTGATAAAGTTGTGTCTCCATCAGACCCCTTCCACTGGAGCAGCTTGCTCCAAGCCCCTGTATCCAACCTGCCAGGGATGGGGCAGCCACAGCTTCTCTGGGCACCCTGTGCCAGCGCCTCAGCACCCTCCCAGGGAAGAGCTTCTGCCTAAGAGCTCAGCTCAGTCTCCCCTCGGGCAGGTTCAAGCCATTCCCCTTGTCCATTCTGTGATGCGTGTACCCCAAACCGGTATTAAAGAGGAGCAGGCGAGACAGAACTTGACTGCAGACATCTCATTTCCTTAGGAAATCAGGCTAAAAATAGGACAGGAACATAACGGAGCCTTCTTTCTCCTGCCACTCCCCAGCTGGGAATCAGCTTTTGTCCTGGAAGCTGAGTTTATTGCTCTTATTCCTGCTTCTGGGCTCCAGATGTTGCCAGGCATGGACGTGCCTCCCATCAGCGGTGGAAGCGCGGTGGGAAGCGGCTGATGCGCGGGAGGACCGGCGCTGGGGATGGAGGGGAGCTTCCCACCTCCCATTGTGGCCCTGTGGGTGCTGCCTGCGTGCTCAGGTCTCCTGCAGGAGCGCCGCAGGAAGGGCTGACACATGATAGGGTCTATAAATACCTTTGGGTTCCTGTTACCCTGAGCTCCATGCGGGGCCGCACGGACGCGCTGTGCCCTGCTGTGAGCCGGGGCACCGGAGGTGGTCACCCAGAGCTCCCCGAGGGCAGGCACTGCCTGTGCCGTACCCCTGTGCTGGTACGGGTCCGTGCTGCTGCGTTCGCAGCGCTGGTGCCATCCATGCTGCACAGGCAGGCTCCATCCTGCACTGCGCCGAGTGCGGTCAGGACGTTCCAGGTCTTTTCTCCTGTTTCCAGCAGGACACGTCAGTGCCAGCACGCACCCGTTACACGTTACCTGTGCTCACACGTGTGTACACATGGGCACAGCCCCGTGCTCCTGGGGGAGGCCTCGCACTGGTATTTAACCCAGTGCTGCTGCACCAAAGCACGTGTAAAGCTGTGAGGTCTGAGTGCTTGGGTATCACAGAACCAGGCTGGAAAAGCCCTTCAAGCTCCTCCAGTCCAACCCTTACCCCAGCACTGCCAAGGCCACCACTGCCCCATGGCACTGAGGCCTTGTCTATAGGGTTTGTGAACACTTGCAGGGCCGGAGCCTGCAGCCCTGCCCTGGGCAGCCTGTTCCAATGCCTGAGCACCCTCTGGGGCAGGAATTGTTCCTCAGCTCCATCTAAACCTGCCCTGGTGCAGCTTGAGGCCGTTTCCTCCTGTCCCATCCCTTGTTCCTTGGGAGCAGAGCCCAGCCCCTCCTGGCTCCATCCTCCTCTCAGGCAGTTGTAGGCAGCCATCAGGTCCCCCCTGAGCCTTCTCTTCTCCACACTGAACCCCCCAGGTCCCTCAGCCCTTCCCCATCACACTTGTGCTCCAGGCCCTGCACCAGCTCCGTTGCCCTTCTCTGGCCCCGCTCCAGCACCTCAAGGTCCCTCCTGCAGTGAGGGGGCTCAGCCGCCGGTTTGGGCAGAGCCAGGATCGGCTCCTTGCCTTCTGCTGGGTGATGTGCGGAGCGTGTGGAGCCGCTCGGCTGGGTTTGAGACCGCGCTGTGCCTGGAACAGGGAGCGAGGGAAAGGCTGGGGCCGAGCCAGCTCCCGTCCTGTCCTGTCCTGTCCTCAGTAACGCCCCTCGCACGCAGGAGCAGCCGGAGACGAACGGGGCCGCGCTCCCCCCCTTGGGGCGCTGCTTTGGGGCCGCTCCGCTCCTCCCTCCCCGCCCCGCTCAGGGCAGCAGCTCCTGGGGCTGCCGCTGGCGAAGGGGCCGGAGGCGGCCCCCGGAGCTGTTCGCGTGCGGGGAAACTGAGGCACGGAGCCCGCTCCGCCCCATCGCGGCTCGGAGGAGGAGGAGGAGGAGGAGGCGCTGGGCAGGAGCCCGGCCCTCGGGGCGGAGCCGCCGGAGCAGCGCCCGCCGGAGCGGGGAGCGCCGAAGCCCCGGCCCCGGGATGAGCTTCCCGCGGCCCCTCCGCCGCTCCGTGAGCCTCAGCCCGGCCCGGAGCCTGCGCCTCGTCGTGCTGGGGCAGAGCGCAGTGGGCAAGACAGGTAGGGAGGGGTCCCCGGCATCCCCCGGTGTCCCCCCGGAAACCCCTTCCTGTCCCCCGGCATCCCCCGGTGCCCCCTCCGGCTTCCCCTGCCCCAGGTCTCATCCCCGGGGTCGGGCCCCCCGGGCGGTTCGGTTGCCCGGGATGGGGATGGAGGGATGATCCCTGTGGACCCGGTTCGGTTTAGGGGCAGCCGGCTTGCCGGGATCCCTCGCGCTCTGCAGCGGGGGCTCGCAGGAGCCGAGCTCAGGCTTGGGCTTGCGGCGGTGCTTTGAGTCCGGTGCCCGTCGGCAGCGAGGCGAGGTTTGCGGAGCCTCCTGGAGCAGCGCTGGCTTCGGTTTCCCTTTAGGAAAACTCCCTTTCCCCGCGCTTTGCCCGGTGCTCGCACCTGTGGGGATTGGGATGCTGAGCTGGGAGCACGTGAGCTCCCTCCTTCATCCCCCTCCTGCCCGGCAGTCACCCTCCCGCTCTTCCCAATCCTCCATCCATGTGCTGAAGGCGTCCAATGCTCCCGTTCTGGGCAGCATCCAGCGTTCCAGGAGCAGGGCTGAGAGGTGCTGGTCACTGAGGGGGGGAAAGGTGGTGTCCGTGTGGGTCCACGTTGTCTCCATTGCAGCGGGGCAGGGGAGCAGTGGTGCCCGCAGAGCCTGGGGACACGGTTGCGTCCTTGGACAGGGCAATGTCCCGCTGGCTTCCTGCTCCATAGAGGAAGAACCACGGCAGCGGTGGCACCTCCGCCTGGCTCGTGGCCAGCGGCCCTGGCTGTTGGTGCTGTTGTGTTTCCATATACAGTCACCGGCGAGCTTCCCGCCCGGAGCCACTGGAAAACCAGGATTCCCTGATTGCATCAAAGGAGGAGACTCCCCGGTCTGGATAAGAGCCTGGCACTGGGAGCGCGGTCCAGCTCCAGGGGTACCCGGAGCACGGGGGGGTCCCTGCACTGTGGCCTCGCTGTCCCTGCGAGCAAGGGAGCTGCCGGTGATGGCTGCACGGAGCGGAGTGCTCCAGCTCACCCCCTCCAGCCTGAACCCATGGATCCCACCGGTGGGCAGCCGGGAGCTGTGGGTCCCTCCTGCAGGCACACGAGAGGCTGCTGTGCCTCCTCCATAGGGTTGGATCGTGCCGAGGGTCTTCCATGGCTCCCGGTGGTCGGGTGTCTGTGGGTCTGCCCTGCAGTGGCTCAGCTCCTCTGTGCCCTCAGCAGGGTGGGTTTTGCTGTCCCTTGGGGCTGTGGTGGTGACACAGACCAGGAGATGGGGCCAGAGGGAGGGAATCGATTCCCGGGTCGTGCAGAGAAGAGCCAGGAGCATGCCAGGAACCGGGAGCAGCCCCTTGGAATGGCAGGAGCATGATCCCCTGCAGCACTGACACGGGTCTCTGCCCCCTTGGGTGCCGTCCTGCACGTCCTCCCCTGCAAAGGGACACTGTGGCATCCCCACTGGGTGCTGTGCCCAAGGGCTGGGTCCTTCTGTCTCTGGGCCCCTGCACCCACTGGAGCTGGGGACCAGGACACCTCTGGCTGGGGCGGATGGGCTGCAGGAGGCAGCCGATCCCCGAGGCAGGGGGAGGAAGGGATGCGACACGTGGGGATCCCCTGTTTTGGGGAGGGGTGAAGGTGGATTCCATCTGAACCCATCCCTGAGCCCCCAAGCTCCTGGTCCTGGCAGGGTGGAGTGAACCCAATGCTGGAGCATCACCCGGGTGAGCTGTTCACATCCATCCCTCGGGAAGCAGAATCCAGGCTGGGAAAGCTGAGGGGGCTGAGATGGGTGAGAATCAAAAGGGGAATTAACATCTGGAGAGCTGCAAAAGGGGGGGGGGGGAAACCCCAAACCCTCGATTCTCAGCCAAACGGTTGGATTTTGGAGCAGTTTGGAAATCTTTGCTTTTCCCTCCAAATCTTGGGATCCTCTGAGTGGGTTTGGGTGCAGCCCCATGGCTGAACCCCATCGGTAGTTTAAAGACTTGGTCTGGGTGTAAATCACCTGCAGAGGCTGCAGTTACCTCCACCGGTGTGAACCGCGCCATGCCTCCGAGGAAAGCTCTGCTTTGGAACAGCAGCCGGAGCTGAACTGATGCTGGTCCAAATGGAATATGAACTTAACCTTTTAGCTTTGGGGGTCTCCAAGAAGAGCCCTTTCCGAGGTTACTTATGCTCAAGATGGAGGGGAAAAGGCCCTGTATCAGGCTCATGGATGTGCCGATGTCTCTGCCTGCATCCGTGCCTCTGGCTGGCAGCTCCGCTCGTGTTCTTGTGCTCCAGCCAGCTTTTAATCAATGTAATTGGCTCCTCTTCTCGCACAGCACCGTGTGCTCCAGGCCTGGTGCATGCCGCAGAGTCAGGAGCCTTCCAGAGCCCGAGCCTGGCTTCCCTCGTGCTGCCCCTGCTCACGCAGTCACCTCCTTGAAGCTGCGGGATCCTCGCTTACCCCATGGAGCAGTTGCTTGCTCCATCAGATCCCTGGCTTGGAACCCAGGAGTGGCTTGGAAGGAGAAGGGATGGTGAATGCCCCAGGCAGGAGATGCCGGGGCTGGAGGAGCCACAGCCCAGCTCTGGTTGGAACCCGTGTTCCTGGGATGAACGCACAGATCCTGCCTGGCTTGGTGTGGGGGTAGGATGTGGGGGACATAGGAATGGCTTGAACCTGCCCGAGGGGAGGCTGAGCTGAGCTCTTAGGCAGAAGCTCTTCCCTGGGAGGGTGCTGAGGCGCTGGCACAGGGTGCCCAGAGAAGCTGTGGCTGCCCCATCCCTGGCAGTGCTCAAGGCCAGGTTGGACACAGGGGCTTGGAGCAAGCTGCTCCAGTGGAAGGGGTCCCTGCCCGTGGCAGGGGCTGGAGCTGGATGGGCTTTAAGGTCCCTCTCTCTGTTGTTTTCCCCTGTTCTCGCTCGTTTTCCACCAATTTCACTCTCTGCTCCCATCACCTTTCCAAGCCCGTTCCAGCCTCTCCACTGCCTTTCACTCCCTGCACAGCCTGTTCCTTCCCGTCAATAACCCGCTAATGACCCATTACCGTCATTAGCGCCTTCGAGGGCTCCCGCACCGCTGCCATCAGCTGTGCCCCCCGCAGCCGCCCAGCCACGGGGTTCTCTGCCTGCATCGCTGCATTTTCCCAGCTGCTGCATTGACCAGATGTGATGTGCAGGAGGCCACGCCGAGGGCTTTGCATCGATCCGGCACATCCACGCCATCGGCCCATGGATCAGCCCCCAGGCCCCCGGGAACCCCTTTGGATGACTTGAGACCCCGAGGTCCAAGCGTGAAGAGTTTTGTGGCCTCCCCATTTCCAAAGGCAGAGCGAGGTGTTCCTGAAACCACCTCTGGGAGGGTGCTCGTGCTGCCCACTGCTCTCCCCAGCAGGCATCTCCCCTTCCTGCTGTGCAGGGAAGAGCTGAGAGCCACAGGAAAGCTCGCTCGGGCTGCAGGGCTGGAGAGCTGCTTCTGGGGATGCTTCTGGTCCTTTCCTGCTCCACCCTGTTGCATCCTAAAGGCAATTCCCTGCAGAAAGATGTTCCAAAGGGTGGGGGCATCGAATCAGCCGGGTTGGAAAAGACCTTTAGGATCATCCCGTCCAGCTGTGGATGGTGAAGGTGAGCAGATGAATAAGCCTTTGGCTGGGCTGGGGAGGCCTTCCCCAGCAGAAGGGCTCTCGGGAGATGCAGTTGGTCTCTTCCCAGAACCAGTCACTTCTCCTCCAGTGCTTCCCTGGGGCAGGACCGGACCCTGCACCACCTCCTTTGAGGCGTTCTGGTGTGCGCAGCATTTGAGCCTCCCGTTGGGATCGCTCCCTTCCTGTTTGAGCTCCATGGCCCAGAGCTGGTTCCTGCAGCGCTGCCCTTATGGGGCTGCTCCTGAACCATCCCTGGGCAGCCGATGCTTCCAGAGCATCCGACCCAGAGCTTGCCTTTGGTCCAGGCCGAGCTGTGACCCCACATCCCCACCCGGCCCCTCCATCTCTGCCAGTTCACCACCACCGTCCCTGTCCGTGCTGGTCGGGGTGACCCGTTCCAGGCAGGGTCTGTGCTTTGTGCCCTCTCTGTTGTTGTTCCTTGGCTTTGCTGTTGTTCCTCCTTCCCTGGGAAAGGCCAGGAGAGGCCGCGTGCCCTCTGCAGTCCTCGGCTCCAAGCTGTGGGATTCCTTTCCCAGGAAAAGGAGCTCTCTCCATCAGCCCCTGGTGTACCCCTGGGGGCAAGTTCTCTGCTGCTGCTGAACTGATGCAGCCGAGCACCACCTCCCGGCCTCTCCGGGCTCTCCCCTGCATCCCGAGCACCAGCACGGCCTCCTCCCAGCTCTGCCGGGGCTGTTCCATGGCGTGCTCGAGGCTCGTGAAAAGTCAAGTTAAAACGGGCCAGCTTTGTGCTGTTCTCCTGCATCTTCCCATGGGATGCTGCCTGGAATGAAGCTGGGCACAGCTTGCTACCATCTCACCTGCTCTGCCCGTTTTCAGGAGCATCAGTGTCCCCTCGTCAGCCCCCTGTGCCACCCAGCCTGCTGGCATGGGCACCGCAACGCTCCTGCTGCAGTGCCAGGGAGGCTTCCTCATGCTCCAGAGCAGGCGCTGGGATAAAGCCCAGCACAAACCGAGGCAGGGACAGACGGGTTTGTGTCCCTTTGGCCACATCAGGGACCTCTGTCTGAGCTCGGTGCTCTGTCAGCAGCAGTGATGGGAACACTCCGGCTGCCTCCCTGCCCCGCTCAGCCCAGCAGGAATTCCAGCACCTTCACTGCTTAGAAACCCTTTGCTTTTCCCCCTGCTTCCCCTTCCTGACCGTTTGCCAGCTGGGCCTCAGCCCTGTCCCTTGTCCTCACACCCCATAGAGACCGTGCACCATGGCCAAGGAGCCTCTGGTTTCAGTTTGCAGCCCCTGAGATCCTGCCCACCTGCAGCAAGCGCTTGCTCTGGAGCTGAGCTCTGTGTCCCTCGGCCTGCAGCGAGGTGCTGAGCTGCAGCACCCGGTGAGGAGAAGCTGCTGCCAGGCTGATGAAGCTGTTGGGCAAGCCTCCAACCCCGCAGGCCTCCGGCAGCCTGGCTTTAGGGTGTAATTTGGGATTCACATCTCCAGTCTCTGGTGCAGCAATGTGGTAATTGGATAAAGGGGTTGATGACCTGCTCCTGCCATCCCTCGTCCCTGCAAGGAGGAAAAATGGGGCCAGATGGTTCAATCCCTGCATTGATGCTGTGCCAGCAGATGGAAGGTGGTGCCTGCCCCATCCCTGGCAGTGCTCAAGGCCAGGTTGGACACAGGGGCTTGGAGCAAGCTGCTCCAGTGGAAGGGGTCCCTGCCCGTGGCAGGGGTTGGAACTGTTTGGGCTTTAAGGTCCCTTCCAGCCCAAACCAGTCTGGGATCCTGTGGCTTTCATAGCAGGGGTTGTTTCGTCCCCTGCTTGCCGAGAGCTGCCGGGATGCTCCTTGCAAGGATGAAACGATGATCCCAGCTTGTGCCCAGCATCCCTGTGCCGGGAACATGAATTCCTGAGCGCAGGCACAGCAGGAAGCTGATGTGCACCGGGCTGGGCTGCCCCTTGCTCATCTCCTCCTGGTGCCGGGCCCCTTCCCAGGCTGGTTTTGGCAGCGCATGGCTGGGGCGAGGGGCACCTCCGGGTCTGCCGTGCCCTGTGCCCCTCCAGCTTTGGCTTTCTGATCAGCCCCATGGGGTCTGGTGCCAGCACCTCCCTGCTGTGAGCCTGGGCTGGCTTAAACCAACAGTGCTCAAGTCCATGGGACCCATCCAGGCAGTTACAGCACCAGCGCCAGCAGAGCCTGACCCAGCACCGACGTGCCCTGTGCCGAGCTCACCGGTGAGGGCATCGCTCAGCCAGCATAAACTTCAGCACTGCATAAACCAGTGCAGGATGAGGCAGGAGGTGCAGGTTGTGACCCCCCCATGCAGGGGTTTGCTGCTGACAGCGAGCAGGCAGCTGAGGGCAGAGGCCTCTTCCTCCGCCTGGAGCATCCCATCTGGGGCTGGGCTTTGGTCCTCGATGCCAACGTTTGCAGCATCGCTGCTGGGGAGTCTGCACCGGGAGCCTTGCCGTGAGGCCGGGGCAGGTCTTTGCTCCGTCCCTCACCCCGAGCAGCTGCTGGCTCCCTGCGGGTTGTCCATCACTGGTCTGTTGTGTTTCTTACAGCGCTGACCGTCAGGTTCATCACCAGGAGATTCATTGGAGACTACGACCCGACCCTGGGTGAGCCAATCCTTTCCCTTCTTGCTGCTGCCGCTTGTCAGCCCAGGGACCCTTGGTAGCAGAGCCAACCCTGCTCCCAAGCTCACGTGTTCACGGGCTCTTGCAGCCCCTTCTCCTTCTCTGCTGGTTTGGTTAAGGTGAAACCTGCTGGGGTGAGCCGTTGGCATCACGGGGAGGCACCGCGTGCTTGGCCATGCTCAGCAGCTCGCTGGCACGTGGCTCTGAGGCGAAGGAGGTGTCAGCCTCTGGGGCAGTGGGAAGGGCCTGCCTTGTCCTTGGGTTTGCATCTGGGTTTGAGGTTCTGGGGCACTGAAGCCCCATCCCTGCCGAAGGTCCCCAGAGTGCCTGCTCAGGGCGCTGCATCTTCCTGCCACATCCAGTGCCACCCAGCAGGGTGGGAATTGGGGATTCTCTGTTCCAACCCAGCTGGTCCCCAGGGAGCCTGAGGGACGGGGCTGGTTTGAAGCACAGCCCCATAACCACTGCCCTGTGCTCCCTCCCTTCCTCACTTGATGCCCTGAGCGATGCTTCCCCTGGAGCACAGTTTGTTCTTCCTCTCTGCCTCCTGTTGCGCTCGCTGCATGCGATGTGAGGAGCCACAGAGCCCACACACGTGTGCTCCTCGTGCTGCTTGTGGCGGAGGAGAGGGAAGGTGCCTGTTTATCCCATGGGCCAGGGGTTCCTGCCCTGTCGTGCCTGGCACACGGGCACAGTGTGACCGGGCTGCTCCATCTGCCCGAGCACGGCGTCCTGTGAGCAGGTGGTTGCCAAGCCGAGGGATGGTGCTTTCCTTGCTGCTGATGTTAGTGAAGCTCGAAGGGGTTTTGTGCTCCAGATGCCACCAACAGCCACTTTCATTGCTTGGTTACAAAGGAGCCGCTGCTTCGGAGCAGGAGCTCAGTGCTGGATGGGCAAAGGGCTGGTGAGGAGCATGAGTCCTCCATGGAGAGGGGCTTTGGGCAAGGGCCTGGAGGGCCAGGCCAAGGGGAATGGCTTGAACCTGCCCGAGGGGAGACTGAGCTGAGCTCTTAGGCAGAAGCTCTTCCCTGGGAGGGTGCTGAGGCGCTGGCACAGGGTGCCCAGAGAAGCTGTGGCTGCCCCATCCCTGGCAGTGCTCAAGGCCAGGTTGGACACAGGGCTTGGAGCAAGCTGCTCCAGTGGAAGGGGTCCCTGCCCGTGGCAGGGGTTGGAGCTGGAGGAGCTTTGAGGTCCCTTCCAACCCAAACCAGGCTGGGGTTCTGGGATTCTATGAAAACAAACGCAGCTCCTCACCCTCTCTGGCTCATCTCTTCCCTTGCAGGAGCATCACTCCATGTCCCCTTTTTGCTCCAGCCCTGAGGTCGCTGTAACCCCTTTATTTCCAGCAAGGCAAAATCCGCTGGGTGCTGGCTGGGGCTCTGTATCCCCAGAGTTGCTGAGCTCGATGCCATGGGCCCAGGGTGGCCCTCCCCATGCCCGGGGACAGGCTGAGGACCAGCTCAAGGTGCCCTCACAACAGAGGCCGCAGGGGCTGTGGGTTGCAGCAAGCAAAAACCAACTTCTCCAGCGCAGCACTGAGTGTGCCCGGGTTCTCGTTGCCTACGTGGGGCTCCTCTCACAGAGGCTTCTCTCTCTGTCCCGCCCCAGAGATGATTTACAGACACGTGGCTGTCATTGACGGGGAGATGGTGCACTTCGAGATCCTGGACACCGCGGGACAGGTGAGCTCCTGCTGCTCTCCACACTTCAGTCTGCTGCAGCCAAGTGTGCCTGCCCCAGCCCTGGCAGTGCTCAAGGCCAGCTTGGACACAGGGGCTTGGAGCAAGCTGCTCCAGTGGAAGGGGTCTCTACCCATGGACGAGCTTTAAGGTCCCTTCCAACACAAACCAGGCTGGGGTTCCATGGCTCTGTGGGTTTCTCTTGGAGAAAGGATGCTTTGGATTTATGTGTCTCTAACGTCAATCCCAGTGCGTCTTCGGCTCAGCATTTCCCCATCCCCATTACTCATTGAAGGAGACACCAAGCACTGGGACTGCAGCAGGGGAGAGCCCTGTGCTGGCTTCACATCCCTGCCTCTGGGCACCCGCTTTAGCAGCACCAGCTCTCCCGTTCCCATATCAGAATGGGGCTGACCACTGTTGTAAGCGGCGAGGAGAAGCAGACAGGCCAACCCAATATGGGTGATAAGCAACTTCTACTTTATTTGTGACGCCGTTCACATATATATAGGAGTGGTATTCAGCCACTCCTTCTTGGCATAACGGTATTGGTTAGCCCCCCACAGCTTCCTCCACATTCTCCTCCCAGGTCCGGTCTCCGGCTACCTGTGGGGGCCACCCCCTGCCTTGCTTGCACAGTCCTCCAGAACTCTATGGTCCTGCTCTTAGAGTCATTCTGCAACACACTGTCTCCATCTTTCACTTTGCTCCCCCATCAGATCCAGCCCCAGGCTACCCGTGTGCTCTGCGCATCGCTGCCGTGTGCAAGCCCATGGCCAGAAGCCTTCAGGGATGGTGATGACCCCCTGGGAGGTTCCTGGGCCCCATCCCGCAGTGTTTGGTGCAGGGAGGTGTTTGGTGTTAACAGGAGCTTGTGTGCCGGCAGGAGGAGGACTCGCTGCAGATAGAGGAGAAGATCAAGTGGGGCGATGGCTTCGCCGTGGTCTACTCGGTGACGGACAGATGCAGCTTCGACGAGGTGATGCGGCTCTGCTTCCTCATCAACCACATCCACTCGAGCCCCCGGCGCAGCAGCGCGGGCGAGCAGCCGCCCGTCGTCATCGTGGCCAACAAGAAGGACCTGCAGTTCGACCGGATGGTGTCCACCGAGGACGGCGAGAACCTCTCCAAAGCCTTGAAGCTGCCTTTCTACGAGATCTCCACCCGGGACAGCTACGAGGAACCCGTGGCCGTGTTCAACGCCCTCTACCAGGAGCTCATGAGACAGGGGCACTTCTCCCCGGGCTCCTTCAAGAGGAGGACGGTGTCGAAGCTGATGGAGAAGATCCCAAAGATGCAGGCGAGCTCCACGCCGCACTCGGCGGGACGGAGCCTCAGCTTTAACTCCTTCAGGGACTACATCCCCGAGTGAGCGGAGGCGCGGACACAGGGACAGGTCTTATCCTGCCGCTTCAGCTCCAGGAGGGAAGGGTTAGGGATGGGGAGGGTGGGTTTGGGGTGCGGCAGCCTTCGGAAGCCTGTTTGCACAGACAGGCGTTGTGCCAGCAGGGACGATGCTCCTCACCCATCTGTGGTCCCTCATCCTCCTCCCGCCTGGCTGCAGTCAGCACTGAAGCTGGTTCGTGGTGACTCCGGTGGTGCTGGGCCAGCCTCGGGAGGCTCAGCAGTGCTTCAGCGGGGATCAGACCCTGCACAGAGACCCCTCTGCGGGTTCCCCCCTCCCCTCACAAAGCCGGGTCTGTTTGTGCCCTGGGGCGTGCACCCACAACACTGGGGTGAGCCCAGGGTGGCTCCAGCTCCCCACCCCTGCCTTGGGATCACGGTGGGAACGATCTCCCGGGTGCTCAAAACCCTCCCTTTCCCACAGCCACCCTCCATGCCCGGGCTCGCTGCACTGGTCAGCGGGTGCCGAGGGGAAAGCCACGTCCCCATGGTCCCCACAGGGAGCCCGTTCACCCTCTGCAGCCACCAGCATCCACCTGTCCGAGCCCAGCACTATGTTCCCATCCCCATTCTCCCTCGGGCTGTGACCTGAAGCCACTGCAGAGGGGCAGAACCCCCATCCTGCTGCCTGTGGAGGAGCTCCTCCATCCCCACTGCCCGTGGGCTGTCACCGAGGGTGTGTTTAAAAGCAAACCCGGGATTTGGGGAGGGGGGGAAAGCCTCTTCAGCCCTGGCTGGTCTGGAAACCCAGTTCTCAACGGCTCAGGCTCCTTCACTGACCCTGTAAGTACAGTCCCTGCACAGGGCAGATGCTGATGCTCCATCTCCAGCTGGAGCCACCACATCCCCAGTGCTTTGCTGGGCGCTGCCTTTGAGCCTGCCCCTGTTTTCCATCCCCATCTCCACGTCACCCGGGCAGCCCTCCTGCGAGGGGAGGCACGTGGAACACGCTGGGTTGCTGATGCACATTGGAACCTAGGCTGGGATCACGCTTCTGCATCCGAGAGGAGCAGTGCTCCCAGAGCAGCTTCTCCTGTTCCTGCCTTTGCCCTGCGGCTCTCTGTGCTGTGAGCAAACCGATGGCTGCCAATTTGAACCATGGATGCAGGGAGCTGAAAATGATGCTCCGTGCAGGGACCCCCTTTTCTGCTTAATTGCCCCATTCCCACGTGGAAACCACCTTGGGCTGGGAATTTGCTCAGAGCCGGGGCAGTAAAGGTGGACGGAGCAGGGCTTGCAGACAGCAGCATCTTCCCCCTGCAGCATCCTTTCCGCCCCCCGTCCCACCCGATGCCCAGCGCTGCTGTGCGAGGTGCATGTGCAGGATGACCTGGGGTTACACCGTGCCCCCCCATAGTGCAGGATGACCTGGGGTTACACCGTGCCCCCCCATAGTGACCTGTCACACCCTCTGCTGCTGCTCCTCTGACAATAAAAGCCATGCTGGCAACTGCCAGTGACGCCTCGGTCCTGCCAGTGTGGGGCAAGGAGTTTTATTGTGCTCTGTCCCTTTTGGGGTGACTGTAAAGGGTGCAGGGAGGGGAAATGAAACCTTTACATAGGGCCGGGCATCTCTGTTGTCATCTCTGTGCCTCCTCTGGAGCCAGGCTGAGAGAGCTGGGCTGGGGCAGCCTGGAGAAGAGAAGGGGAGACCTGAGAGCAGCTCCAGTGCCTGAAGGGGCTGCAGGGAACCTGGAGAGGGGCTTGGGACAAGGGCCTGGAGGGACAGGCCAAGGGGAATGGCTTGAACCTGCCCGAGGGGAGACTGAGCTGAGCTCTTAGGCAGAAGCTCTTCCCTGGGAGGGTGCTGAGGCGCTGGCACAGGGTGCCCAGAGAAGCTGTGGCTGCCCCATCCCTGGCAGTGCTCAAGGCCAGGTTGGACACAGGGGCTTGGAGCAAGCTGCTCCAGTGGAAGGGGTTGGGGTTGGAGCTGGAGGAGCTCTCAGGTCCCTTCCAACTCAAACCCACCTGGGATTCTGCTCCGAGTAGTTTATACCAAGTAACACAGGTTTCTGCATGCCCGGCACCGCACTGGGCTGGAGCTCCAGGCAGCGAGGAAATCCATGGCCTTGGACAAGCCTTGGAACATCAGGGATTTAAGCAATGTCCTTGAGGACACCAAAACCTCCGCGGCTTGGCAAAAGCCTGGAGCAGACATTCAGCATCCCAATGGGGTTTCATCCTCTCGAGCCAGGCTGTTATCACAGCCCCACGCTGCTGGGTTTGGGGTCAAAGCACAGCCTGAGCCCTGCCGCAGCGTTCAGCTCGCTTGGAGATGCCATAAAGCCCTGAAATGAACCCAGACGAGAGCCCCGCCAGCCCTGGCTTCCCCTTGGAGAGATCCCTGAGGATTCAATGCCCCAAACCGGGCTCTTGTGGTGAGCAAACAGCAGCCGCAGCGGCACCTCCCACTGCTGGCGCCCAGGGCTTTCATTAGGGTGCTGGAAAGGAGCAGTTCTAAAGCGGTCCCTTGGCCTGACCCTCGGCAGGGTTCGTTTCACCCCACGGGAGGGCTGCGGGCGCGGGCATTGGAACGGAAGCGGGATTCGACGGAAGCCTTGCGGAGCCAGCCCTTGGCTACAGGCGGGCAGCCCCAGGGCACGGCTCTGGGAGCTGTGAGAGGGGCGGGGGGGAACGTGTGATTTCAGAGCAGGGAGGGGAGGGGATACCCGGCTCCGCAGGCTGGGATGCTCCGGAGGAAGCCTCAGGCGCACACCTCGGCTGGGAGGTGCGGGCAGGGCGGTGACAGCGGTTTGTGTTGGAAGGGGCCTTAAAGCCCATCCAGCTCCGGCCCCGGCCCCGGCCCCGGGCAGGGACCCCTTCCACTGGAGCAGGGTGCTCCAAGGCCCCGGGTCCAACCCGGCCTGGAGCCCCACGGACGGGAGCGGAGCAGCCGCGGGGAGCAGCATCCTCCCTGCCCCGGCTCGCTGCGGCGCCGGGTTCATCCCCTAAGGAATGCAGGGAGGTTTCCCAGCCAGAAGCTCCGGGTGGCCGCTGCTGCTTCCAGGCGCAGCCCCTCGCGGGGCCGGGAGCCAGCTTGGCCCTTGCTCACGGCTGGAATTAGCCAGGAGCCTCTCTGGGATCAAGGCTCAGCTGCATGCGGAGAGGCCGAGGGGCGGCTCAGGCTGCTCAGCGCTAACCGCTGACTGCTGGGAGCCTGCGTTGGTCTCCCGGGGCGTTCCCCACTCCGGTATAAAGCTTGGTCCTCGGGGCCAGAAAGCGCTGGTGGGGAGGGTCACCACTGGGGGTGATGAATGGGGACACCCCCGTGAATCCTAAATGCTCGTGGTGGGAGTTCTGCAGGGCTCATGCAGAGAGGAGGAGGAGGAGGAGGAGCAAAAAGAGGAGGAGGAAGGCCTCTGCCTTCCCTGTAGCTCTGGGGGCTCAGGGAGCTGGGTTAAAGCCAGGTCCCTGGAGGGAAAGTGCTCAGAGCTCTGTCCTTGGATGTCTTGCAGCCCCTTGGAGGTGTTTGGTTCTGTGGGGCTGCGGCCTTCCCCTGTCTGAGGAGGGCACTAAGGTAACATGTAAGGGGATTTTGGGGTGGAAGCCGGGGCTGTGTGGTTTGGTTTGCCCTGGAGACCTCTCATAAATCCCCCACCCTTATGGAGGACCAGGCTTCAGGGCTGCTTGACGCCCCATGCAGGAAGGAGAGATTGATGGAGCTGGGTATCCTGTGCTGATCCTCTGGACCGGTGCTCCTGTGTGCGGATGGAAATGCCACCCCTCTGGGGACATGTGGGTGCCCAGGAGGTTGTCCTGCACCCAGGGACCATCAGCACTTCGGTGTCTGTGCTGTGATGGCTCAGCCCCATAGGGAGAAGCTGGAGAGTTTTGGTCTCCTCCTCCCAAAGGCATCTCCAGGGCAGTGATTTAATTTGGCAAGGGTGCAGGCTGCAAATGTGCTCACCAGATTGCTGGGAAGCCTGGAAGAGACAAGTGAACCAGAAACATCCTTTCCCCACAGCTCCCTGGCCTGCTGCTCACCACCAGCAGCTCGCTGGCACGCCGAGCCTCCCTGTTATCCCCCCTTAACCCTGTCTGTGCATGCCTGTGCTGGAAAAGCCATGATGTGGATGATGTGTGGGCTGAGATTGGTGCCTGTGGCTTTAGCTTCCCCCCCCGTGTTGCACTTGGGTTGAGCCCTCCTGAGTGACAAGGGGCAGGAGCTCCTTGCACTGATGCTCAAGTCCTCTTGGTACCTGCTGCTCTGCTTACATACCCTATGTGGGTTTGCAGGGCTGGGACTCAACTCCAGCGGCCAAAACCTTGCTCAGAAAGATGAACCCGTGCTTCGATGGGGATTGTAAAGCTGGATTCGGCAGGAGATGGGATCACCTCTTAGCAAGGTGCACAGAGGAAGCCTAAGAGGTGGGGTGGAGCTGCAGCCTTTATCATCAGCCTTGTGCCTTTAGTTATGTATGTAAAATAGAGGGTTTGGGCTTTCTGAGGGCTCTTCCTGGAGGAGCAGTGTGTGCATCTGGCCTCACTGCAGCCCCAGACCTGCTGGGGGGTGATGGGGAAAGCAGAGCTGCTGGCAGCATCTTCCAGGCAGGTCCTGCTTTTAGACCCCCAAACCAAGCACAACCTCTCCCCTAACCCAAAGCCATCCACTAGGCTCACGGAGCTTGTCTGGGTGGTGCAATGCTCCCTCCTGTTAAGGTGCCCATGTTGGGTGCCTGGGGACTGCTGGGTCTGGGGGTGCCAGAGGGCAAGAGCCCAATCCAGGTGGATTTTCCTTGGCCCAGCAGCTCGTCTATCCCAAACCACCAGTTTTAGGGCAGTCTCCTGCAGTGAGTGCGGTGGCTCAGGGGCTCAGTCCCTGTCACCCCCCTGGGGTTCCCTAAATGTCAGGGTTTGCCTGGGGTGAAAGCAGGGACAAGGGGGGCTGGTTCCTGGTGCAGGGACACGGTGGGGTTGGGAAGGGACGATGCCTGAGCGGCTCTTTCCAACCACTGTTGCTATTTCTGTGCCCGCGCTCTCAATGCAGGCCCTGCTGCTCGCTTGTTGCTGTTATAAATAGCTGTGGAGCTGCCTGGGACTTCATGGAAATTCAGGAATGCTTCCAGGGGGAATCTGGGGCTGAGATCTAGGGGGTTTGGAGCTACATCCCCCTTCTTTCTTGCTTGCTTTTAAGCTATTCAATAGCTTAGCTCTAACGAGGAGCAGAGGCTCTGCAAGGCAAAGGGGGTTTTAGCACAGCCAAAGGAGTTTGCTGGCCCTGAAAGGAAAAGGTTGGAACTGCAACGGGGACAAAAGCAAGAGGAAAACCCCCTCTGCAGCCCAGCAGCTGCCTTGTTCCTGGGGTTCAGTTTTAAGGCATCACCTCCGGGTCCGGCAACAGCAGATGGACCTGGGGCCTGTACTGCAGTGGAGGTGAGGGCAGGAGGAGGGTGCACAGGAGAACAGAGTGGTTTGGGTTGAAAGGGACCTTAAGGCTCATCCAGTCCCAGCCCCTACCATGGGCAGGAGCACCTTCCACTGGAGCAGCTTGCTCCAAGGCCCTGTGTCCAACCTGGCCTTGAACACTGCCAGGGATGGGGCAGCCACAGCTCCTCGGGCATCCCTACTGCCAAGCTCTGGGCAGTCTGCTTTGGCCCACACTGTATCTGCTGGCCTGTGTGCACAGTGGGGTTTGGGTGCAGGCTTTTAAGGTAACGTGGGATCCATCCCCACTGCAAGAGCTTGGCCAGAGCCTGGGGGATGAGGCTGCTCCCTCAGGGAAGATCAAGGAGAGACGCCAAGTCCTGGAGGCTCTTTGCTGCTCCAAGTTTCCTTTGTTCTGGGCCAACCACACATCTTTTCTTTTGCTTTCTCTCTTCTCCTTTCCCTCTTTCTAATGATAATATTTAAACCCATCCAAACCGGGCTCCCCAGTGCAGCCTGGCCCCACCACTGGGGAGCTCTGCCTGCCCTCACTGGGGCTGTGAGGCTGTAGGAAAACGCTGATGCTGAGGACTGGTCCTCCCCGAGCGCAGCCCCTGCTCCTCGCCTCGCGTGCGTGGAGGATGCCTGTGGATGCCGGTGCTCTGCTCTTCCAGGCAGCCTGAAAGAAAGGTAAGGACAGGGCTTGTTTTCAGAGGACGTGGTATGTCATGTGCGGGGCATAACGCAAAGGCAGCCATTCCTGTGGGCTGCTCAATGTAAATCCCAGTGGGAGTAAGCATTACTCCCTGTTTTCTGGGTGTTTTGCCACAGAGTTTTGATTCCCGAGCTCTGCTTATTGATGCTGATGGGTTAAATGTATTCCCAGGCACCCACCGCATCCCTTCCCTGGCACCAGCAGCCTACGGGAGCTGCATCCACCTACCCGAGCCAAAGCCCTCGGGGTTTGGGATCGAAGCCCTTTGGAGGTGGCTCGGACATTCCCATGGGATGTAAAATGGGAGCCTCGGGGTCTGTTCAGAGCTGCAGAGTCAGGAAGGGGGAAAAGATTCCCTATTTTGCAGCGGAGGAGACCTAGAGCTGCAATAAACCCTCAGCAAGGAGAGGGGCTCTTGGCTTGCCGGGACCCCGTGAACCACCCGGAATGTGTTTTCCTGCTGGCGCTGGACAAGGAGAGGTGGTTTCCTTGGCACTGCGAGGAAGATGAGGTGGGGTTTCGAGCTGTCTGTGTCGTGCTGTGAGCTGGCATGGGCCGGAACGTCGGCAACACCGTTCCTCCCCTCCAAAGGGCGGGTGGGAAGGGGGTCAGCCCCAAATCCCCCAGTGCCTGTTTGCGGGGGGGGCAGTTTATTGAGTTGCTGGAGTCTGCAGCAGGATTTCCCCTGGCGCAAGGAAGATTCGAGCTGCTTCTAAAGGAAAGCTCCCATGAAATCCCGCCGTTTCCCTGGGATCCCACCCGGCAATTCCAGCCCCGTCCCGTCCCCCCCTCCCCAGCCCCTGCATCAGCAGCCACCGCGCTCCCCATCGCCGGGCTCCCTAATCCCGCCCTGGAGCGGGTCACGGCCCCTCTGCCGTCCCGTGGATGTGATTTAACGTGTGCCATGTGATGGGGCTTTGCCTTCAGCTGCTGCCAAGCACCCCCCTCGCTCGCCCCCGGTGAGGAACGGGGAATAGCCGAGCCCTGAGCAGCCCTCCTGGGGCTGCTGTCGCATCCCCTCCCCTGCCCTGCCCTGGACAGGAGGTTTAACCCCCCCATGCAGTGAGGACCACAGCCCCATCCCAAAGAGCACCCTGATCTCTACCCCGGCTCTACCTGCTTTTAGCCAAGCCGTGCTCTCCATGGGGCAGATGGGTTTAGAAACCCCCTCAGGAGGCAGATGCCTCGCTGGTACCTTGGCATTTCAGGTTTATGCTGCAGCTGAACGGCTCTGAGTCCCCAGGGGGGTTTATTAACTTCCACTTGTTGCCTTCTCGCAGGCTGTGGGGTGTGTGGGTCCCACAACCCTGCCCAGGACGTCCCTGCTGGAGGAAGCACCCTTCTTCCTTCTCCTATAATGATCTTCCCTGTATTTTAACTACTTTTAAGTAACCCTGACAGCTTTTCTGGGAGGATCCCATGAGAATCGTGGCCCCTTTCTTTTGCACCTCACCCCCAGCCCTGTCTCCATCCCCTGTAGCTTTGCCATAACCCCTCCTAACCTGGCAGCTTGAGGGAGCCCTTTCCCAGGTGATCCCAGTCCCGGTTTGGATGGACATCACCGTCCCCATCTCATCCCCAAGCTTGCAATAAAGCCTCATCCTTCCCCCTTATCCCAGATCCAGCCTTTTCTCCCTGCCAGTGGCTGGGAGATGCTCGTCCCGATATCATCAACCCATTTTCCACTTCATTCCATACTGGATATTGCCCCAGCCAAGACCACACATTAATCCTGTGGGAAAGGCCCCTCCAGGGGCTTACTTGGGCTGCAGACAAGAATTGTCCCTGTGGATCTGGCTGTGCTGAGACCTTCCCAAAGAGCAGCATCCCCAGGGTGAGTCTTTGGCTTCAGGGCTTGGGGGTGTCGGGGTTTTACCTGCTGCAGAATGGGGAAACCCTTGGAAATAGCCTGGGATTCAGCAGGCAACAGATTGTAACATTCCATGTAAAATCCAGGTAAAATTCCCTGGTCACCCCCAGGCAGGGGGAGGAGGGGTGGGACGAGTGTGAGGGGCATGGAAAAGTGGAAGGAAATCTCATTTGGGGTGGGAAAACAGGGAGAATCCCACAGATGTAATAGTAACAACAATCAGAACACAATGCAGGGCAGGGAGGCTGGGTGCTGCCTCTCGTGTGTGGGTTCTCAGGTGTGTAGGAAGGGCTCAGCTGCAGCCACCTCAGTGACTTGGCCAGAAATCCCTTTAGAACTGTTCCCCTATAAATGCGTGCTGCTGAACAGGATACGTTTGAGGTCCTGCCCGTTTCCCATGCCGGTGGTTGGGATCCTGCTGCCCGCAGGGAGGGAGGGAACGCACCGGGTCTCGTCTTGGGTAACGCTCCTGGGTCAGTTTGGATCAAGTTGCCTCAGTGAAGGTGTCTGACGTGGCCAGGAGGAAAAACTACCCTGGGGGAGAGGAGAGGATCCTGACAGCGGGAAAGCAGCCGGAGCAGGAGCGCTCGGCCACCGAGGAGCACTTGAGGGCTGCGGAAGCATCTTTTGGTCTGCATTGAGGTAAAGCAGAAGCCGCTCCTTCGCTGGGAGATGGGGCTGTGTGATGGGGGGGGAGCTGAGCTGGGGCAAGCAGCAGCAATTGGGGCAGCTGGGATGCAGGAGGGGACAGCAGGGTGGGATGCAGAAGGCACCCACCTTGTGATGCCATCACTGTGGTGGTTCCCTGCCCGGGCTGGAGCACTGGGTGCCTGTTCCTTTGAGTGAGGGTTGTGCCCATGGGTATCTTTTCTCCCTGCTCTGTCCAGCATAGAACCCCAGGCTGGTTTGGGTTGGCAGGGACTTAAAGCTCCTCCAGCTCCAACCCCCTGCATGGGCAGGGACACCTTCCCCTAGAGCAGCTTGCTCCAAGCCCCTGTGTCCAGCCTGGCCTTGAACACTGCGAGGGATGGGGCACCAAATACCAAATCAGATGAGATGGAAGGAGGCTGGTGTTGCATCCCCCTCTTTCTCCAACCACCCCTGCAGTCCATCTCCTGCCCCCCCCAGCTATTTACTGCCTCTTTGCACACCAAGAGGTGAAGCCACGCTGCAGGGGCAAACCAAACCCGAAAGGTCCATGGAGGCTCGAGCGCTGCCGTGTCTCCCCTCCACTGCTGTCCCAGGCTCTCTGCCACCCGTGCTCTCCTCCAGCTCCCCTCTGGCATCGCTGAGCGGATGCTGCTGATCATGCCAAGGGGCTGAGCTGACACCGGCACCGGGTCTTGCGCTTGAGCTGCATCCACAGCCGGCACTGAGCCTAGCAGCAGGGTTTGCTGCGCAGCGGAGCGCACAGCGGGGCTGCAGGGAGAGTTCGTCCACCTTGGGGTTGCTGCAAAGGGAAAAGAGTCGGGGCTTCGTTTCTCTTTAAACTTTCATTTGGAGCAAGAAAAAAAAAGGTTTTGGTGCGCTCCAAGGGGGTTTCTTTCTTGTGCTGCCGCAGGAGGCGAGAGCGAGAGGAGCCGGAGCATCCCCCTGTGAGCGCACCATGCCGCTCTCCCGCCGCACCGGCCAGATGCCCGAAGCCACCTGGACGCTGGGCTTCAGGGAGATGACGGAGCCCTGGAAAGGCACCGTGGGCTGCCTCGGCGTGGCCGTGTTCTTCGCCATGACCATCGGCATCATCTCGTGGCAGGCGCTGGAGCAGCCGCCGGAGGAGTGGGTGCTGCGGGGCCGGCGGGGGGGGCTGCTCTGGGAGCGCCGGCGCGGGGCCCTGCTGCTGCGGGCGCTGCCGGCGGGGCGCGCGGTGGCCGCGGTGGCGGTGGGGGGGGTGCCGGCCGCCGAGCCCCCGCCGCCCCGGGACCGCTGCTGGCACGACGGTGCCCAGTTCTGCTACGCGTGGGAGGAGGATGCGGAGCTCCGGCTGTCCCTCGAGCCCCCGCCCGCCCCCAGCACCGAGTGCTACAGCGTCCGCTGGACCCCGCTGCGCCCCGACGTCGTGCTGAAGGTAACGGGGAGCCTGGAGACCTCGGAGCAGCTCCGAGGGTCTGAAGGGGGCTACAGGGGCGCTGGAGAGGGGCCCTTCATCAGGGACTGCAGCCACAGGACAGGGGGTGACGGGTTCGGACTGAAACAGGGGAAGTTCAGGTGAGATATAATGGAGCTCTTCCCTGTGAGGGTGCTGAGGCGCTGGCACAGGGTGCCCAGGGAAGTGGTAAATGCCCCATCCCTGGCAGCGTTCAAGGCCAAGTTGGACACGGGCTTGGGTGACAGGGTCTAGTGTGAGGTGTCCCTGCCCGTGGCAGGGGGTTGGAACCGGATGATCTTAAGACCCTTTCCAACCCAAACCATTCTGTCATTCTGTGACCCCGTGTGCTGCTCGGAACTGTGGCCTTTGGGGTAAAATGAGCCCAAATGCAGAGGCACTGCCCCGAACACCCCACTTCCCACCACGGCTGTGGGTCACACCATGGCTGGGGCTCCCCATCTTCCAACCCGACTGATTCTGGGTGGGGAAAGCCTTCTGGAAGCCTCGTGCCTTGGTGCTGAGCTCCCAAACCACCGAGGAGCCGCTGCCTCCCAGGGCTGTGTTGGTAACCCCAGGGTGGGAGCTCCGTGTTTATGGAGACTGAATAAACACCACTGCGGATCACAATGCTGGCGGGGGGCACGAGGAGCGCGGGGAGGTCTCCTCCAACCGCAGCACAACGGGGCTGCTGCACGCATTCACGGGGCTCCTTCTCTTCTTAAACAAAAGCAGATGCCAAAAGCGAGCCTTAGGGAGGGGAAGGAAAAACCCCATTGCCCCGAGGTGCCCTCAGGAGCAGTGAGGGAGCGGAGGGGATCCCGTGGGGATGGGGCGGTTTGTGCCCTTAGCTGTTGCTGCTGTTTTGAGCTGTGGGAGGTGTTGCCTGAACGCAGCCGCTGCGGTGGGGCTGGGCTCCCTTTGCTGCCCTTTCCCCCTCCCTTTCGCAGCCTGTGTAACCTGCTCCGCTGACACCCGGCACTGCTGTCCCGAGCCTCCCGGCTTTCCACTTTAATAATTCACATCTCCTCTCCTCACCCCTTGGTGAGATTCAACCTCCCGCTGCCCCCAGGGCACAGATGAGCTCGGGGGCTCCAGGCTGGGGTCAATGAGCATGGGTTGCGTCGAGCTGGGTCCTTCTCTGCCCGCCCCAGCCCCGCCTCTGCATTCCCAAATCCCCATGGGAAGTCATGCGGGATGCTGAGCCCTGCTGATCCCGGCTTTGGCAGAAAGAGGGCACTTTTGGAGGCTTGGAAGTGAAAAGTGATGGTTTCTAAAAGGAGATGGATTGAGGATAGGGACGTCACTGGGACCGGGAGCTCTTGGGGATGGCTTGTTGCTCTGCCCTGTCAGCCCTATGGGAAGTGCTCCAAATACCCCTACCGATGTAGTCTTATTGAGGGAACACACTCATTGTTAGTGCCATTATATTCCCATGATACCAGGGAAATGCTGCTTGTCACCAGCCCACAGGGAAGAGGGAGGCTTTGCCTTGGGAGAGAGCAGAAAGCCCACAAGGTACCCCAGGGACCCTGCAGTGCTATAGAGCTGAATGGCAGGGTCGGAACTGGATGAGCTTTAAGGTTCCTCCCATCCCAACCCATGCTGTGATTCCATGAACGTCGGCGTTAGTTTTGGACCTGGAAGCACAGCTCTTGTTCTTGTGGAAGAAAATCTTCACCCCAGGTGTGCTCTACCACGAGCACCCACTGCTTTTTGGATGAAACCCCTAAATCTCATGGCCATGGGATTTTCCTTCCCGGGAAAAGCCCCATCCCATGACCGCTCTGACAGCACTGGGATAACTTGCAGGGGTTTTGCCTCTCAATGCAACTATTCCCATGTTCATCCTCACCCCCGATGACTCTCTCTTGGCTGCAGGATTGCTTCTCCATGGCCAACATCTCCTGGTACGGAGGGGTGAGCCTCCGTGCCCAGCGCTGGCCGCTCAATGGAGCCCAAAGCCAGGCGCAGCCTTTTGTCAGTGGAGGCTTCAGCAAGAATCCCACGGGATACGGGCCTGTTCTGGAGAGGTACTTCTTGGGCTCCACAGGTAACTGCTTCCTTCCCCATCCAGCTTCCTGGTCCTTCAATCCCTGTGTTTCTCCATCTTCTCCTCATCTATAAAGCAGCTGGTTTAGCAGCAGGGTTGATGCCTCGGAGGTGAAGCTGTCCTTCCAATGCATTGCCAGCTGGCAGCGGGACACGATGGATCCCACATTGCCTCATCCCTATGGAAAAGGCCACGATACTAAACCTCAGTGCCTGAGAGGATGGGGTTGGCTCAGCTCGCCCCAGGGGAGTCCCTGCTCTTGGTGTGTCTTCATTTTTAGGATCTGTTTAAGCAGAGATCCGTGTCCATTGCCAGCTCCTCCAGCACCACTTGAGTGGCTTCATCCTGAGCTCCCAGGTCCCTGACACTGCTCTGGATGCTGGATGAGAGCTTAGGGGCTGTTGTCATTTTTGGGTGGCTATTTGGATTATTCTGCAGCACTCCAGACCTCAGCCATTGCCCCTAATTCATCAATTGATCTGTGGCTGCCCTGCAGTGATGAAGCCGAAGCTGCTGCCTAAGCTGAATGCAGCACAACAAGGCAGGAAGCGGAGTCAATCCCGCCCTCGAAAGGCGTTTTGGTTTAAAGGGAATAGCGAAAGCCGAGAGCAGGGCTTTGCCTGAGTGGCTGGGATCAGTCCAGGAGGACCTGGTACCAGTTAGGCTCTGCCCTGTACATCCCCATCCCTGTGACCACCAGTGCCGAGGACCGAGGCCGGGCCGGCACGCGCTGAGACACCGCCTCGCTCTGCTCTCCCCCAAGGCGTGACGGTGACGGTGCCTCCCGACGTGCCCGTGCTCCTCTCGCTGGAGAGCAGCCGGCACTTCTGCCTGGCATCCCCGGTGGGCAGAGCGGCCGAGCCCCTGCACTACACCCTCTGTGCCAGCACCGACGTCGCGGCCGCGCACCGGCACGTGGGCACCCAGCTCGGTGCGCAGGAGCGGGCGCTGCCGGATACGGCCCTCCTGGGGTAAGGCATTCCCACGGGCAGGGACCCCTTCCACTGGAGCAGCTTGCTCCAAGCCCCTATGTCCAACCTGGCCTTGAGCACTGCCAGGGATGGGGCAGCCACAGCTTCTCTGGGCACCCTGTGCCAGTGCCTCAGCACCCTCATGGTGAAGCATCTCGTGCTGGCACAGGGTGCAGCCACCAGCTCTTTCCACCACACAGGTCTCCAGTCTGGAGGTATTCTGGCCCAGAGGGTTCAGCTGCCAAAATAAAACGAGGTTTGAGGTCACTGGTGAGGAGGCTGAAGCGGCATCGTCTTCAGGAGGGGGTCCTGGTCCTGGGGGAGCGCTGCACTGCCATCCTTGCTGCTGCGGTATGTCCCGTCCTGCCGGCCTTTGGGCCTGAGGGGCAAATGGAGCGCTGCCATGAGCCCTGCTCTCAGAACATATGTTAGATCTTAAATTCATAAAACCACAGACTGCTTTGGGTTGGAAGGGACCCTAAAGCTCCTCCAGCTCCAACTCCTGCCATGGGCAGGGACCCCTTCCACTAGAGCAGCTTGCTCCAAGCCCCTGTGTCCAACCTGGCCTTGAGCACTGCCAGGGATGGGGCAGCCACAGCTTCTCTGGGCACCCTGTGCCAGCGCCTCAGCACCCTCCCAGGGAAGAGCTTCTGCCTAAGAGCTCATCTCAGTCTCCCCTCGGGCAGGTTCAAGCCATTCCCCTTGGCCTGTCCCTCCAGGCCCTTGTCCCAAGCCCCTCTCCAGGTTTCCTGCAGCCCCTTCAGGCACTGGAGCTGCTCTCAGGTTTCCCCTTCAGGAGCCTTCTCTTGTCCAGGCTGCCCCAGCCCAGCTCTCTCAGCCTGGCTCCAGAGCAGAGCTGCTCCAGCCCTCGCAGCAGCTCCATGGCCTCCTCTGGCCTCGCTCCAACAGCTCCACGTCCCTCTTGTGCTGTTGCCCCAGGGCCGGACTCTGATCCCTGTGTGTAAAATGCCAGCGCACCCATTCTGTGGGCTGGGGGCTGAGCTCTCACACGGACAGCTGCTGCTTGGTGGCTTTGCACTCTGACAAAACCCCTTCTACTGCCTGTCCCTCCCAGCAGGACCATGCACCCTCAGAGCGGAGGAAGAGGCAGGACCCGAGCCGTGCCTGGGACCCTTCTGCGCTGGCCCCGCTGCAGCTCGCTGTGACACTGTCCCCGTACACCAGCATCTCCTCCCCGCTGTTCCTGCGCACGCTGCGGGACGGACACGCAGGGACCTACTGGCTGAGCCTGCAGCCCCACGTCGGGGGCAGCCCGGTACGAGACCCTCCTCAACCCGAGCCTGCTTTAAACCTGAATGAACACCCTCACTAGGGCGACAACCTGATCCTCCTGCGCTGGGGACCAGCCCGGCACTGCAGAGCGATGCCCGGGGGAGCCACTTCTCTCTTTCTTAAGGAAGCAGCTTTCAAATTCCCACTTCCAAAAGATATTTCTGGAAGTTGCTGGTGCTCAGAACATCCCAATTCCCCCTGGTTTTCGCAGTCATTCTAATGATCTGCCTCTTTTCCATCAACTCCCGGGTGGTTTTGGGTTGGTTGACAAAGGGTTTACTCTTTCATGCGTGGCCCTGTGACGGTGTGGGGTGGGATGGGGACACAGCAGCCTTGCAGCCCGGGCTTGCAGGGTGTTCTCTGGCTCTGGCAGGACTCTTCCTTGTCCCCTGCAGATCCCGCTGCTGACCACATGGAAGGGGCAGCTTTGTGTCCGCCTCAACGTCACCAGCGAGGCGGCACTGAGCTGGTACCTGGCACGTGCCCGGCGCCTGCGGCACGCACTGGGTGCTGCGTACCTGGTGTTCGAGGGTGCTGAGGGCAATGCCTTCCTGGAGCAAGCTGTGCCCCCTCCCGCCGAGCTGGAGGGAGACCGGTACACCGGGCTGTTGGCAGAGGCACTGGCAACACTGGGAAACGCCACTGTCATCAGTGCCGGTGCCAGGTGGGTACCACCGAGATGATGCTTCCCTGGAGCCGATGGATGTGGGAACTGCTTGGGAGATGCTGGAGGGGATGCTTTGCATGTGCCCTTGGGGTGCTCAGCACCCAGGGAAGCAGTGTGGAGGTGAGCTAGGGTAATGGGTAGAATTGTGGAATCAACCAGGTTGCAAAATACGTTGAAGACCATCAAGTTCAACCATTACCTCAGGGCTGCCAAGACCACCACTAACTCACATCACTGAGGGCATCTACGTGATAGGAAGGGGTTGCTCTTCTAGCTCTCTTTCTCTCTCTTTTGGAGCACATTAACATTGTTTTTAATGTCTTAGAGGATAAAAATGTTTAACTGCATTGATACCTGATGCAATAAAGATGCATCTTGTCACCTACGGCCATTCAAGCTCCAGGCTGCTGCCAATCCTGCAGAAGGGAGGGGGTGAACCCTGCAGTCTTGGCCAAATCCCTGCATTGGAATTGCTTTGGTGTCAAACAACTGCAGTTCTCTGACTTCCCATGCTTGTGTAGCACATAACAGGGTTAATCTATTAACAAGCATTTGTAACACCCCTCGAGACCCTTTGGTTAGAGGCACTGAGAAGCATTACTTGTCTTTTTACCCGCTATGGTTATGCCACGCAGATGCAAAAGGCTATCGGGCTGTTTGCAAGGTGGCTTATTTCCTGTTGGGGATGAGGCATTGATGGTAAATTGCATGAGAGGACAACTTCAGATCATTCCTTTTCAAAGAACAAGCGGCGTTTCGCATGCTGAGGCGGTGACAGGCTCTTAGTCAGCCACCTGCCAAACCACAGTGGTGGGAACGGCCCCTTTCCTGACAATCTTTGCTCCATCCAGGATCCTGTCTTTCCCGGGGGGCAGCTTCCATAGCAGAAGTGTTCTATAAACCACATCAGCCTTAACTCCTCCGAAGATGAAAGTGTCCCTGGAGATCTCTGGGGAGCCAGCGTGTATCTGAAGGGGGGCTACAGGGATGCTGGGGAGGGACTCTTCATTAGGGACTGCAGTGACAGGACAAGGGGTAACGGGTTCAAACTGAAACAGGGGAAGTTTAGATTGGATCTAAGGAGGAAATTCTTTCCTGTGAGGGTGCTGAGGCACTGGAATGGGTTGCCCAGGGAGGTTGTGAATGCTCCATCCCCGGCAGTGTTCAAGGCCAGGTTGGACAGAGCCTTGGGTGCCATGGTTTAGTGTGAGGTGTCCCTGGCCATGGCAGGGGGCTGGAACTGGATGATCTTAAGGTCCTTTCCAACCCAAACTATTCCATGATTCTAAGTTAGAGGGGGCACAAGGAGGAAACCAAACTCCAGGAACGAGAAGTCTTGGACCAAAGCCCCCCTTTGGTTAGATCAGCTCCAGACCATTTCTCAGGCTAAAGCTCATTGTGAAGGTCCACGTTTGACCCTTTTTGGCCACCAGAAACAGTCTCCTTCACTGGGCTGCTTGCTGACATGAGCCTCTCCTCCCCTCCAGGTGAACCCAAGGCATAGAAATGCTCTTGGTCAGGAAAGAAGAGCACTGGGGTGGCAGTGGTTTCCCTCCAGCAGAGATGCCAAGTGGCTGAAGGAACCCTCATCTCCTGTGGGCCCTCTCTAACCACCACCTCTGTGCTTGGTCCCCCCAGATCCAGTCACCTACCTCTCTTCATCCAGATGAGCCCCCTGCGCTCGGACTGGAGCCATGCTGGGCTGAAGGGGATTATTCCCTCTGTGCTGCACTACAGCCTCTTGGGCTACAACTTCTTCATCCCCGATGCAGTAGGTACGTAGGTCAGCATCTCTGCGGGAGGCGAGGTGCGAGGGATGCAGGAGGTAGCTTGCACCCCGTGGCTCAGGTGTGCCGCACCGAGGCGTGAAGCACTTTGCTCTCCGTACCCCGTTTTCCGGCTGGATTGGGGTGAATGTTACCAGGGAATCGACTGAGGGATTGCAAACCAAGGCCAACAGGCAGTAAATGTGAGCAGGCCGCTGGCTGGGGAGCAGATGCAGCCGCGCTCCAAGGCTGTGTTCGTGCTCCAGAGCGCGATGCTCGAGGAATGCTTCAACCAAAACGTTGTAAAAGGCCAGAAAGGACCCTTTAATGGGAGCCAAGCAGCTCGGTTTCCCCCTCCTCTTGGAGGTGACTGCGTTGTGTGTCTTCAAAATGTGCCAAGAACACATGGAGGCTGCACGTGAAGTGTCTGAGCCAGAGGGCAGAGCTGCAGAGAGCCCTGCTCAGGGGTCAGGGAGCAATCCTTCAATGGGGCCCTATTTTTAGGCAGTTTTCCTTAGGAAACAAGGCCTGGGCAATCACAGCACAGGGATGCTGAACCCGCTGGTGTGCGGTCCACGGGGCTGCGTCACCTCAGCCCGGGAGCTCGGCAGCACCAGGGGCTGCTCGGGATGCGAGGAGCCTGTGGAGGGGCTGGGGCTCTGTGGTGGTTTGGCTGAGCCCTTGGCTCAGTTCTGTGTGGCATTTCTATACAAGCTGAGCCAGATTTTCGGAGCGAGGATGCTCCGGCTCCAAAGGCTTCACCTCCCTTTCCCTGTCCCTTCCCACCCTCTCCTGTCCTTCCCAAGCCCCTCCATGGTGTTTCAGAGGGCATCTGCAATCCCCTTCCACTGCGTATTTCTGACAACACCACTCTGATTCCCCACTGCTGTGCACTGTGGAAGTGAAGGGGGCTAAAGCACAGGAGTACTCTCCCGTGATGCTGTCTTTGCACATCATTGTGGAAGGAAAACCCAGCACTTCCCCAATGCTTTTCTCTGCAGGAAAGAAATCCCTTTTTATAGGTTCTGATTAAATGTAGAAACTCTGGAGACATCTGGTCCTAAAACGACCAAAGATCATAGAGTCAGAGTGGTTTGGGTTGAAGGGACCTTAAAGCCCATCCAGCTCCAGCCCCTGCCAGGGGCAGGGACCCCTTCCACTGGAGCAGCTTGCTCCAAGCCCCTGTGTCCAACCTGACCTTGGCAGGGATGCCTGGTGTTTGCTGATGATGCTCAAGGAAGGCATCCATGGATGGGGAGAACTCGGCTCCTCTCGCAGTGGGTAAAATGTCCTGCCCACGTGGAGAACCCATTGACTGGGATGCCCCTGAGTGCCTTCCCTGAGTCCTTTGTGCCCGCAGGAGGGAGCCTGGCCGGCGACAGCCCGGGGGACACGGAGCTCTACGTGAGGTGGCTGCAGATCGTGACGTTTCTCCCCGTGATGGCCTTCAGCACCCCACCCTGGCTCTGCTGCGAGGCCGGGGTACGTAGCCCGTGCCCCACAGGGGGGATGCGGTGTCGCTGGTGTGCCAAGCACCCCCCAAGCCATTAATGTCCTTACACTGCGGAAAGCTGAGGCTCCAACTCACTGTCCCGCTCCTGCTGCCCAGAGTCCTGCTCAGCCGCCTCGCTGCGTGTTCTCAGCAGTGGTGTCGCTGTGAAATCCATGTTTTTGTGGGTTTATACTTCACGGCTCTGTGCAGCCACGGGGGCAGTGCCCATGGTGCCCATAGAAATGACACCGATCAGCGTGTGTGTGTGTGTGTGTCCCTCCCTTTGCTGCGGGGGTGGTTTAAGCACAGCTTGACCAAAGACCGAGTCCCTGCAGCAGAGTGAAGAGCACAGATTGCCATTCAAGGTCTTTTCAAACAGCTGGAGGCATTTTCATTGAACCCCAGCCTGGTTTGGGGTGGACGGGGCCTTAAAGCTCCTCCAGCTCCAACCCCTGCCATGGGCAGGAACACCTCCTTTCCAGCACCCTAATGAAAGCCCTGGGCGCCAGCAGTGGGAGGTGCCGCTGCGGCTGCTGTTTGCTCACCACAAGAGCCCGGTTTGGGGCATTGAATCCTCAGGGATCTCTCCAAGGGGAAGCCAGGGCTGGCGGGGCTCTCGTCTGGGTTCATTTCAGGGCTTTATGGCATCTCCAAGCGAGCTGAACGCTGCGGCAGGGCTCAGGCTGTGCTTTGACCCCAAACCCAGCAGCGTGGGGCTGTGATAACAGCCTGGCTCGAGAGGATGAAACCCCATTGGGATGCTGAATGTCTGCTCCAGGCTTTTGCCAAGCCACGGAGGTTTTGGTGTCCTCAAGGACATTGCTTAAATCCCTGATGTTCCAAGGCTTGTCCAAGGCCATGGATTTCCTCGCTGCCTGGAGCTCCAGCCCAGTGCGGTGCCGGGCATGCAGAAACCTGTGTTACTTGGTATAAACTACTCAGAGCAGAATCCCAGGTGGGTTTGAGTTGGAAGGGACCTGAGAGCTCCTCCAGCTCCAACCCCTGCCACAGGCAGGGACCCCTTCCACTGGAGTAGCTTGCTCCAAGCCCCTGTGTCCAACCTGGCCTTGAGCACTGCCAAGGATGGGGCAGCCACAGCTTCTCTGGGCACCCTGTGTCTTCCTTTATATCTAGCCTAAATCTCTGGTTTCAGTCTGAGCCCATCACCCCTTGTCCTATTGCTCCAGCCCCTGATGAAGAGTCCCTCCTTCCTCAGCATCCTTGCAGCCCCCTTCACACACTGGAAGCTGCTCTGAGGTCTCCACGCAGCTTCTCTTCTCCAGGCTGAACAGCCCCAGTGTTCTCAGCCTGGCTCCATATAAGAACTGCTCCAGCATCCTCATGGCCTCCTCTGGACTTGCTCCAACAGCTCTGTGTCCTTCTTCTGCTGAGGACACCGGAACGCAACAGATTCTTGCTTTGCCCTGTATTGGGTTAAGCTGGTCACAGGTTTCTCTTTTCTCCCCCATGCTGCAGGTCCTGAACCTCACCCGCCGCTGCATCCAGAGGCACCGGGACTTCGTTGTGCCGCTGCTCATCAAATACAGCTCGGAATGGCTCAGCTCGGGGTATCCCATCTTCCGGCCGGCCTGGTGGCTCAGCCCCACGGATCCAGCCGCTTTCACCATCGAGGATGAGTTCCTCATTGGAGATGAGGTAGGGAATGTGGGGCTGAATGCTCTCCCAGGGTAAACAAGGTACCCCCTGCCCTCGCCCATCCACCTCTTTGCATCCTGCCTGAGTACAGCACTGGGGTAGGGGTGGTGGGGAACCATAGGGCTGGTGGGACCCTGTGGCTCCTTCAGCTTTGCAATTTATTCATATTGAGTTGTTGAGAAGGCTTCTTTCCTTTCGGCTTTTAATATCAGGGCATTCGTCAGGCCTTTCTGCTGGAAGACACCCCCTCATTGTCAGCAGTTCTTTCCCCCCTCTTTTCAGGCTGTTGGTCCCATTACTTGATGCTACAGCACGATTGTTTCATGCTGTAAATGCTCCCTGCAAGCCTGGTGTGCTCACACTCTGGTCATGTAGCGGGAGTCTGTCCCTGCAGATGTGTCCATCCCACTGCTGCTCCTTTAGATGGCCTGAGAGTTGATGTGGTCTGTGCTGCTTCAAACCAAAAAGCTCTTGGAAAAGCAACTTTGGGAAAGACTTTCCTTAAAGGAAACTGTGCCTCATCCTGCCATGGTTGTAAGGAGCCTCCAGTTTGGGCAATGGCATCACTTGATCTTTGTCCCTCCTGCTTTGCCTGGGTGTAGGATCCCAACAGCTCAAGACTTTGGCAGCTCCTACCCGGGTTTTTTAGTCCATTAAAAGCATAATCCCCAGTTCATACTATTGAATTAATTTTGCAGCGACTCATTGGGCTGTCTTTACACAGGGATGCTGCTAATCATGGGGCTATCACCTCCATAAAGCAAGCATTCTCAATCCCAAAGCAAAGCTCAGTAGGTGTTTGTTCCTTGTTTCAGCGTGTGCTGCAGAGGTACCTCTCGAGGCTCTGCCTGCAGCCTCCAACAGATGCTGCAATACCTGACTGCCACATATGAGTTTCTGGCCATAAAATATGTGAATTCATTTATAGATTTTATTATTATTACGGGAAATTTCCCTGCAGGAGACCGGCTTCTTAAGAAGGAGCAGAAAGGCCTTTACAGAGAGCTCGGATAGAATCATGGGATCACCCAGGTTGGAAAAGACCTTCAAAACCATCAAGTCCCACCTCTGTTGGGAAGCTTTCAGAACACAAACCCTTGGCACAAAGGAATTGGAGAGCAGCACTGTGTGAGTGCAGATTCACAGGGAGCTGAGGCCTTGCCCCTGTGCCGGGGCTGTTTGGGCACTAATGGGGGTATTTGAACCGAGCAAGCTTAAACTTAGTCCCTTCCCCTAGGATCTCCTGATGGATGCAGTCCAGGCAGGCAGGGCAGCAGTGTGCTCCGTGTTAGCTGACATTCCCCGGTCAACACTGCAGGCTCCGGGAGGAAAGACAATAAAGGGTGAGAGCAGCTTCAGGCTTCTCTCCCTTGTGAGGTGCAAAGCTTTGGCTTGGCTGAACACTGCTGAAGCAGGGTAAAATGTGGTGTGTGCTCTGTGTGGTGTCAGGGCTGGGCAGTTGTGATAGAGCAGGAGGTGAGGCTGGCAAGAAGCTCCCCTGGCTTCAGGTTTTAATCGTTATTGCTCTCATTTTCCAAGAGAGCCTGAGCCTGTGTGTGGGGAGTGCAGGCGGGGATGGGTTGATTCCAAGCTGCAAGAACAGAAACACGCTCCAAAAGCAGCTTTGGTGCGATGTGGAGCATCATCAGCTCTGAACTACTGGGAAATGCCCAGTGTGGTTCTGTCCCGGTACAGTCTGAGGCAGGACTAAGCGCAGGACACCAGGATAAACCCTCTGAGCATCATCGCTCAGTGTAAGCAGCTGCTGCAAGCGCTGATGAGCGCAGCTCTGGTGGTCCTGCACGAGCCAGGGGGTTGGAAGTGGATGAGCTTTAAGGCCCCTTCCGACACAATCCAGGCTGGGATGCTATTCCTGACGCCTTCCTGCTTCTGAGTCGCACCTGAGGTGTTTTGGGGGTTACCCTGGGCTGGGACAGCCCTGCTCTGAAAGCTGATTGCCAGGCTGTGATTTGTGCATCCATCACTTCCAGATCTCTTGGCACGTTCAGCCTGAATCAGGCCGGGCACTATAGCTGTTAAACGTGCCAGAATGCTCCATAAGCAGGTTTTAGGTCAGAGTTTTGCTAACTACGATGGGAAAGAAGCATCATCTCCCCTTGAGCAGACAAACAGCAATGCCTTTGGGTGTCTGCAGGCGGCTTTGGATGCAGTGGTGGACTGCAGTGGGCAGGGTGGTTTTGATCCTTGAGGTCTTGAAGCTGGATTTAACACGGCCCAGCCACATTCCAGCATTACTCATGAGCAAACTTCACTACTGGGAAGGGAATTGGAGCAGACCCCGCTGAATCCTTCCAGCGAAGCATGTTGAAATACAACAGCAAAGAGCCAAGCTCTGCTGGTTTGTGTCGTGCGGCGGTTCGTGGCTGCTTGTCAGTGCCATCTGCCTGGCGAAAGGGATGCTGCAGGAGGTGGGAAAGCCAAGTGTGGCTGCCAAATACATTTATGAAGGCCGGGAGAGTCCAAAAGTGTCCCCCCAAATGTTGCAAACGCCAGGACTTGTCCCTGGGATGACACTGCTGTGCGGCTCAAGAAGCATCACTAAGGGGTGCAGGGGTGAATCCCTGGCACTTGCTCTTTGCTGTTGACCAAGACCTCCAAAAAAGAGGGCTTAAGAGGGGGATTGATCCCTGAATTTCATATCCACTTTTCACTATTTAGCCTTTTTTCCCCCCTCCTTTAATGCCCTTTCTAGACTTTCAATCTTTTCCTTATCGCCTCTTTATTCATCATCATGTGGCAGGGGGCTGGGATTAGATGAACTTTAAGTTCCCTTCCAACCCAAACCATTCTCTGATTTAGAATCCAGCTGCGCACAAACACAAATCAAAGCCTCAGTGTTCAATCGGATCTGAACTGAACCTGAGCTCTGCTCTTCCTGCAAAGCCTCTTTCAGTTTCTGAAGTGATTTATCAGGAATAGTCTCAGGATGCTGGAAACTGGTTTTCCCATCAAGCGAGGGGAGAAAGGATCCCTAAAGTCCTTTGGGACTGCATTACTTAGACTAAGCCACTGGGAGGGAGAGAGCAGAGCAGAGCACACCTCTCCTTATGCCTCTGTTCCGAACGGGGCTCACTGATTTGTGACCCAAGAGCAATTTCTTCATGCTTTTACTTTTACATACTTATTAAATGGAATCATCCCTATGCCAAGGCCACTGGCTGGGATTTTGATGACCATTTGAGGGTGCTGGGAAGCTAAGTCCTTTGAGTCTCCCGACGGAGCCTTGAGTCCACAGAATGATAAATGTGCATCCATTGCTTGGGATGGTGTCGATCCCATTGTGTGCTTTGAGCATCGCCTTTTCCTAGGGTTTAATCCTACCTCACCTCTAACCTGCAACACTCAATTAGTCTGAGAGCTGGAAACAAATCCTTCTCCTAGATGCAGGAGAGGAAAGGTGGGAAGAGAGCGTTAAGTTGCCTGCAGAGCAGCCCCAAACAGGGGGCTTTCGAAGTCCTTTTGAGCAGCCTGGAGCTAAAGCTCTTTCCCTACCTTTTTCCAGTCTCTTTCCTATTCAGGTGGGACATGCTCATATCTACCTGAAATACGAGTTTCTGCTTGGTTTCCAGCCAGATTCTGTTTGGCTTCACTGACTAAGTTGTCTCAAAGAGTCGGCCTGAATGAAATCCTCCCAAGCACGGCAGGAAAGGGAAATTCCCAGCTCTGCCACAGATGGCTTGGGGATGTCTCTCGCCCTGACTCGGTGCCACCAGTGCCTGCTGCAATCCCAGAAAACCTTCTCAGAAGCTGCTCTGTGGGAGCCTGAACCCACCTGCATGTGCCTCTGGGCACCCCGACCTCGTTCATGGTGTCCCTGCTCACTGCAGGGGTTGGACTAGATGAGCTTTGAAGGCCCCTTCCAACCCAAACCATTGTGTGGTTCTCTGGCCTTTGCTCAGCACAGCTCAGGGAGCTTTGTGCTTACCTCTGCTGTGGCATGCATGGACACTCATCTGCAGTTAAGAGCCAGGCCCCCTGACCTCCTCTGGGGTTGTTTGTCCCTTCAGCCTCGCGCTTTGCTTGGTGCACGTCCTGGCTAATCCTCCAAGGGCTACGTTTCTCTTTCCTTTGTTCCCTGCAGGTCCTGGTTGCCCCTGTAACAGAGAAAGGGCAGACGTGGAGGGACATCTACCTGCCCGGAGAGGGGCACCTCTGGATGGACACCACCACTGCCCGTGTGTTCGACGGAGGCACCATCCTCAGGAACTACTCTGCTGGCCTTGCAGAGGTGCCGGTCTTTGTGAAGACCTCCTAACTGCAGCCTGCTGCAGCTCTGGGGCCTCTCTCAGAGCCACGCTGCCCACGCGTGCTCGCTCTTCCAGCCTGTTTGCACTGTTCCAAGAACCTTTGTTACCAGTATTATCTTAGCAGAAGTCCTTTGAGTCTTTCCTTACTTGCTGTTGCTCTAAGAGAGGAGATGCAGCTTTGGCACAAAGACACGCTCACGAGCAGTGGTGACCTCTGTGCTTGCAGGGCTTGCCCGGTGCCATGTCTGTGTGTGAGCTCAGGCGGGCACATCCGGCATTTCCAGTTCCCTGGCACCACGCTCAAAGATGCTGCCTTGGCCAGAGAGTGGATTTCCCAGAGCAGGAGGTAAAGGAACATCAGCTTATACCCGAGGGGATGCTTTTTGTCTTCAAACACAAAGCATACGCAGAGAGAACTGACTGTGAGAGCTCTCTTCAGGTTCCTGGACATCACGTGTGCTAAGCACTACCTGCTTCTCTCAGCTGATGCTGGGTGTACGGTCCCCCAGCGCAGCCTGTGGTAGCAAGAGCCTGACTTTGAGGATAACCAGGAAAACTGGGTGAATTCCAGGTCTATTGGCAGCAGGTTTCTGTGGAACAAAAGTAAACTTGGCCAGACAGGATCGTCATCCACCTTGGAATACAACCTCTGGTGCTCAGCACTGAACTCCTGGGGGCCCCAAAGAGGGCTCTTCATCATCTGAAGATGATGGTGGTGGTTCTTTTTCCTCTCAATTATTTCCTGCAGTGCAAAACAGATCCAGCGTGACCGGCCTTCTTCCCCCCAGCAGAGACCATTCCATAGGCAATCCAGACATCCCACGGGCTGAGTGGACATTTAGGGAGATGACGAGCCTCTCTGATAGCCCAAGTTATGGATTTCTGGGACATGAACATGTACGTTAATGGGGTGAGTTCAAAGGCTGGTGTTTGAGGGCAGGAGCAGGTGGTAGCTGGGCCTGAAGTGGAGAGCAAGATTGTGCTGCTGGGCTTGGGCACAACTAGCCCCAGTGATGAACTGCATCAGCACCTTGGATTGGTGTGGAAACGCTGCTCTACCAAGCTGTGGCTGCTGAAAAATGCAATTCAAGGTGTACCAGGTCCTCCCAAGCCGTTTTCCCCTGCAAACTGGAGTGAAAGCAGGAGAGGAATAGCGTGATCCAGCGGTGGAAGGCCTGAGAGGTGCAGAGCGAAGGCTGGGATGTGGGAAGCCCCTCAGCTCCTTGTCTGGTCAATGGAGGCACAGGATGGGGCCAGGGGAATCACCCAGGGGAGGATGATGAGGCTTGATGAGGCAACTCAAGGCATGCCTGGAAATGTCAACGAACCTATGACGGCTTCTGAGACGTATGAGAAGGCACCGCCTGACTACAGGAATCTCCTGCCAACTGTGATAGGGAATTTATTTGGAGAGAAGTCAAGCTCTGGAACGGGCTCTTCCAAGGGGACGCGGAGGCTCCATCCTTGGACATCACCGAATCCCGGCGGGATGCAGCCGGCTCCAGCAGCCGCTGCTGGGCTCACACGGTCCCGCGCCGGGCACGGCTGCGCTGGCTCTGTCGGGACCGCCTCCGGTTCCTGGAGGGGCCTCTCCGCTGCCGGCGCTCTCCTCTCCCGGGGGGGACCGGGGCGTCGAGCGAGGGGTGCGGAGCCTGCTGCTCGTACCGGTCCCTCCTCCTCTGCCACCGGGCTTGGCTCCTGCGCCTGCGGAGCCTGTGCCTCGCCCCAGGCTGCCGCCGGCTTCTCCTCTTCGACTCGCCCAGGACGGCGCGCTCGGGGGGCAGAGCACGGCCCGCGTTGTGGTCAGTGCTCAAGGCCCTGCTCCGGAACCGCCTCATGGCCCCTGCCCTCCTCATGGCCCTCATGGATGCGGCCGTCCCGCATGGGGAAGATGTGGTTAACGGAGCCCTGGCACCTCGGGCACACGGCTCTCCTGCGGGCGCACTCCTGGATGCAGGGCAAGCAGAAGCAGTGCCTGCAGGAGCCCAGGCAGACTCCGTCGTTGGGGGGTTCCTGGCCCCTCGGCTCCTCAGACGCCTCCATCGGCGCCGCCCGGGCCCCCCGCCTGCTGTTGGCAGGGCAGAGCTGCCCCTGCCCAAGCGCTCCCCGTCCGCCAGGTCCCTGCAACCCAAAGCCATGCGGAGCTCAGCCCTGCCCTGCGGGCACCACCGGCCCGAGGCAGGGAAGCCCCAGGAGGTGCCCGCGCTGCCGGGGGCGAGCCAGGGCCCGTCCCGGGGCAGGCGAGCGGCACCGGGGGCATCTCCGAGCGCTCCCGCTGCCGGGACTGACCTCTCCGGCAGCAAAGCGGCTCCCGGCCTGGCCGCGAGGGCAGCGCAGGGGCCGGGCTCCTTCGTCCCCCCGCAGCCGCTGTCCCCATGCACGGGGACAGCGCTGGGGCCCCCGGCGCTGCCGAGCGCGGCTCCCAAGGGGCGATGTCAGAAGCGTCACAGTGACCCCGGTGACATCACCGGGCTCTGGGCACAAAAGCAGACGCAGGCTCCAGGGGTGAAGGCTCATTTGGCCGAGCGTCCTGAGCCGGGCACCTCGGGGAGAGATGCGGACTTGGCAGAGGGAGCGGATCGGACCCGTGGCACAGAGCCAGGATGCCGACGGCGCCGACTGGAGCTGCTCCCTGTGAGTAAAGGCTGGGAGGCTGCACAGGGGCGCGAAACCTTGCCCAGGTTTCCTCTGGTCTCCTTATGGCCGGACTGATGGGGAAGGGGAAAGAGGAAGAGAAGGGGGAGAGGAGGAGAAAAGGGAGAGCCCCAGAGCTGTAGAGCAGCTCCATTGGGAGGGGCTTGCAGCAATCCCCGTGTCCAACACCCCAGCACGTCAGGGTTTGTCCAGAAGTGAAAGCAAATTCCGTTGCAGCTCTTTCCCCTGTACGTGACGCTCCTGGTCAAACCTTTGCTCTTCCCAGGGCAGGACGGTGCCTGATCCGTGCGGAACAGGCAGGCAGGAACTGGGAGCAGGGAAGCAGCGTCCCCGTCATGCAAGCACCCTGCTGCGCCCCGCAGTGCGCCCCTGTCGGGCCCTGCACGACGACTGACTCCAGCTGCATCCTCGGCCTCAGCATCCTGATCGTGGCTGTGGGGACCATCCTGTTCACCACCACCCGGCGGCCAAAGGTAGGGGCTGCTCAGAGCCAGGGGTCCCTCGGGGTGGGTGCTGATGAGGTCCTCCCCAGCAGGTCTCTGTGCTCTGCTCTGTTCCCACAGGGTGACAAATGGAGCTGGCGATGCTGCGCGTGGTGGCAGCCAGCGGCAGCACTGGAGAGCCCAAAGAGCCCCGTGGGTCCTCCGTGTGCCGCAGGGGATAGCTGGGCCTGTCCCCACGGCGGGAGAGGGCAGAGCGGGGCCCCTTGGGGCAGCCCCTTGAGGCCCTGCTGTCCCCAGCCCCACGGCTCAGGCCCCCCTCCCTCTTTCGCCCGTGGCAAGTGTGGGATGTGCCTCAACTGCCTGCACTGCCCCTGGGCTGCCCAGGAGCTGCAGCAAGTGATGCTGTCACCGCCGCTGGGGATGGGCTCAGTGCCTGCACAGGACCACGGGACCCGGCAGGGAGCAGGGGGGGACCTGCGGGCGCTGCGGAAGCGGGGCTGCCTCTCCTGCCGCAGCCGCAGCTCCTCCACGAGCCTCGGCAGCCCTGGGAGCCTGACGGACGCCTGCGAGAGCCGGGACGCAGGGACCCCCGTGCGGCTGGGATCTGCCTCCTCCCCGGAGTCCTTGCGTGCCGGGGGGGCCCGGTCAGCACTGAAGATTCACGTGGCCAGGAAACACCGCACACGGGGAGCCCGGGCCCTGGCTCAGGCCAGAGCCATGGGGCAGCCCATGGAGGGAGGGCAGGAGCTGCCCAGCCGGCACAACTCGAAGGCCGCGGGTGGGGCCGTCTGCTTCTCCAGCGCAGCACCAGCGCCAGGGACCGGCATCAGTGAGAGCCTCCTTCAGCCGCATGGGCAGCTGCTGCAGCGGGAGCCGTTCCCGTGGCGTCTTGGCTCATCCTCAGCCCAGCCAGCCCTTCCCGAGCCAGACCACAAGGCAGAAGAAGCGGCAAAAGGACCAGCATCGTCTTCGGTCCCGCAGAAGACAGATGTCGGCCTCCAGACGGACCTCCCCATTCCCCAGTGCAGATGGGAGGCCAGCCCTGCGGACACGAGCCAGCCTCCTGCTTCGGTGCCTGCTCCCGTGCCCAGGCTGCAGCTGAGCCAGGAGGTGTACAACAAACTGGACGCACACATTGCCGGGAAATGCCGGGAGCTGGCACAGCTCTGGCCCATGGCACCTGTGCGGGACTCCACGGGCATGCGGCGGTTCCTGCCCTGACGCCTTTGCAACAGGACTCGTGACGCCGGCGCCTGCCTCAAAGCACGGTGCCCAGGGCCAGCATAAGTCCAAATAAATCCTCGTTCTAACGTGAATGCGGGACTTGCTTTCTGTGACCTCTGAGCGGGATGTGGCTGTGGGCTGGGAAGGGGGGAGAGGAAGGGGCCCTCTCAGCTCTTCCTCGTAGGAGAGATGCTCCAGCCCCTTCATCTTCCTTCGCTTCCTGTGACCTGCGGCACATTCGTGTCCCCAAGCACGCGTCTCGGCGGGGACAGGCACTGAAGAGACCCATCTCCAACGGCTTCATTGGGAAGCACCGCATGGAAACTGGCCCCTGTTAGCAGTCACCCCTTGATCTTGCCTCAGCAGGCGGCTCAGCCAGGGCCAAGGACCGAGGCCTTGCCAGGAGTCCGAGGTCAGGATGTGCTTGGGGATAAGAGAGTGGAGGCCCCGCTCCTTGGCTCCAGGACAAGGCTCCTTTCCTGTGATGCTGAACCCTCTGCTCACGTTTATTCCTCCGCTTTGGAGACAGAAGCGTGTCCTGAGCTCATCTCCTTGCCCAGCCTGAGGGAAGTGCTGCTGGTGCCCTTATGGTGCGGCCTCTGCCCTGCGCGGGGCTCTGGGGAGGAAGGGCTTTGCGGAGGAGTCTCCCTCGCGCTCCTCCCGTCACACGAAGCCGGAGGTCTCAGCACCCCAGCACGAGAGCACAGAGCCTCAGCTCCCCCTCCTGCCTCTCCCCATTGCCCAC